CAGTGATCTAAACTGAAAACTGTTCTTCAGATGAAATAAATGGCATGACATACTAGCAAGGAGAAAACAAAACAAAACAAAACAACAAAACAAAACACCTAAACCAACAGCAGTAAAGCAAGGCGAGAAGAACCAGTTCAAAGACCGGGAGAAACCCATATGAAGAAGGCCACCCAAAGAATACAGAAGCCACTGCTAGAAAGAAGATTCTCCAGAATTTATCTTCACGGCCCCGTATTAAAATGAACAGAGACAGGTATGAGATCTTTTCCCCTCACCTCCTGCCACTGCTTCTTAAAGTCAAGATGGACTGAAGAGATACTGAGCTCCTCAAAGATACCTGCACTGATGCTATAAAGGAGTTCAGCTTTGACCAGGGAGACCTGCAGAGGAGGTTTGAAGCCAGGCAGGAATAGAACCATAACTCTTTTAAATAAGAGTCCACAGGAGAAAGTCAATCATTTTATGTTTTGTATTTTTTTTTGTTTGTTTTTGTTTTTTTTTTTAGTATTTTTACATCCAGGTCAACCGTTGTGCAGAAAGGCAAAGCCACAGCACCACACAGCTGTGCCCACCTGCTCTGCTGTTTGAGAGGGCACAGCCATCCTGTTCCAGTGCTTGCTCTTGCATAGGCCACACAGACAGGTAAGCTACACAATGAAAGCACAGAATTTCTCTCCCACATGCTCCCTTGTGTGTGTGACTAGGGGTAGGCTCAAAGTTGAACCCCATGGGTATAAAGACGGTGATTCAGATCTTCCCCAGTTTTCTGCATGCATTAACATACTTGTTTTCTGACATTTTCTGTTCTCCAGAATGCCACTAACAATTATTAACTAGTCAATACAGTTATTTCTTCTATAAGGTGGCATATACAATGCATGCCTGATAAGAGAACATGTAGCCAAGATTAAGCCAAAGATTATTCCAAGAAGCAGCAGTAATAGTTCTAAATTTAAATACGATGAGTTAGCTGGCTTTGTTGAAAACAACACTGTAAGGTCCCAAGTGCAAAAGAAGAAAGAAGAGCTGTGTTTTCAAATGGTACAGAGGACAAAAACTGGCACTGAGCAGCGAGATGGATGCCTGAAACACTGTTCGCAAAAGAAGGGATCCAAGAACTCAAAATATGAATTAAAGTGAAGAAAAACTCTCAAGGACAGGAAACATACAGCAGAAGTGCTGATTAATGATATTAAGATTTCTTATAGTTTCTAGAAATTTTTCTGACATGTGAACAAGCTTGCTATCCTGTCCCAAATCCTAAACACTGAATTTGCTCCCTCAAACATAAATTAATTTGTTCCTAGCCATAAAGGCGGCAGCAGAAGGATCGACTGGTTTGTGTATTCTAGATGTTACCTACACATTCTCAACTTACTTTGTTGAAGATCGAAGCACACTTGGCAGAAAAGTTTTCAGCCTCAGCCCCGATGCAAATGAATCTCTTTCTGGTAATACAACTGCAATTACCATATTCATAGAGATTATTAATTAATCAGAAGTGCTGCTTAAATAAAAGTGCGATTATTTCAACTCATCAGTATAATGTATTTTAAGAAAATATTTGACACAGTAGCCAACCATTTACCGAATGCTCAGTTTAGTAGAATATTATTGAAGTTATAGATTAAAAAGTTAAATACTGTATCAAGTTTAATGAAGAAATCAAGGGTGAATAAGAAGTGTGAAAGCTGAGGCCACAGGGAGCTGTAGACTTGATATGAGATCCCGCAGAGTTCAGCATATGTGGTCACGGAGCCTGTCACGCGATTACTGTTTCACATGGGTACACATGGGTTTCGCGTTGCTGGAAGGAGCAGTGGGGCTGCCAGAACTCTGCATGTACACAGCTCCTATCTTGTCAATGCAGAAATGCTCTATGGCAAAATTATCAGACTGCAGAGGATGTCTTCTGCTGAAATTTAGCAAACTATGTAATACAAAGGTCAGCCTGGGTACACACGGCCTTAAGAACTCCAAGACTTTTTAGGGCTGGGCAGCAGGCTTCCTAAAAGCCTTCAGCTAAATATCCAGGTAATGGCAACTATTCTCATGTAAATAGAATAGCTTAAAAGCAAGCAATCAATTTAAAAAAAAAACAACCAAACAAAAAAAAAAACACGAAACAACCAAACAAAAAACAACCAACCAAGCAAACAACAAAAAAAAAACCAACAAAACAAAACCACACACACATACAAACAAAAACCCAAAAGACAAACAAGCAAAAAAAGGCAATGCAATTGTCCTACCTCTGAGTTTGATCTTTTTTCACCTGATCCACTTATCCAGAGCACAGGAAACAATAACTCTCAGTCACACGTGCATTAGAAACTGTTACACAGATTAGGCCGCCTCTTTTGATGTGCATTTCCATCTCCCCTTGTTTCTTCTGATGCCTAAAGCCTACTGCTGTGAACAGAAACACTCTGACACATTATTTACAAAAGCCAATGTAAACACCTAATGGAAACCCAGCAATTCAAAATGCTCCATTTCCCTTTGCTAACTTTGTTTTTCCCTAACCTATCAGCTATGTGGGCATAAGCGCTCTCTTCCTGAATATCTAGAATATTGCAGGCACTGCTGCAAACACTGTGGTCCCTTCTTGTGAAGAAATTTTATGGTTTGGGGTTGGAGTTTTGGGGGGAGGCCTTTTGGGCTTTGGTGAGTCCACTCCATTCACATTAAATGAAACCTACACATCTGATATGTCAACAACCTCTTCACACAGAAGGGATAAATAGGAAAACAAGTCAGACTTTCTCTAACTGCACTCCAAAGGAGCAGTCTGTCAACTTGGAGTCTGCAGATAGTGAACACATGTGACAGACAGCATGAACGAAAACAAAATCAGATGACTGGCCTATGCCTATAGATCTGGGCTCAGCTCAGTGAAATGAGAAGTGCAGCTCCCTCCAGCACTTATTCACTCCACACAAATGAACAAATGGAGCAGTTAAGGATTCCAGCACACTACGTTTGTGCGCGTGGGGGTTTTTTGTCCCTTGTAGCCCTCTACCATTACTTTTCACCATTATGCCATCCCTTCCAGCCATAAGCTGCTCCTTGCTGCTGACTGGGTCCCCAAACTGGGAAAAGGACGAGTTGTGTACAACTGACATGCCTGCAGACCTATCGGTTGGGGAGAAAAGGTGCTGCACTGGCCTGCTCGGGAGCAGAGCAGCGGGACACGGCGCCTGGCAAGGGCCCGTGGTGGCCAGCCAGAACCATCTCCTTGCCACCCCCCAGCTGACCAGCCAGCACGGCACCTGCAGGGAGGCAGGTTCGCGCCATCTCCGAGCATGAACAACAGAGAAGCTCCTAGGGGGGTCAAAGAAATTACCAGTTTATACGCTGATCCATTGACACTTACTACATTTTCCAGGAAAATCTTATCACCCAGCCAAGATACAGTGTAATGCGTGAGACAATTTCTATTAAAAAGTGAACTTTGTTCTTTTGTAAGGAAGGTTTCAGTGTTCTTATGTTTGTATTTTTACTCAGGAAGTATGTTTATGAACACTACCATCAGCCACCTCATCCCACTGGGATACATCGTCTTAGTTGAAATTCCTGATTCTTGAAATTAATCTGATGTCTTAGGGAGAACAACTTTTTAGATTATCCACATGCGAACAGACATGGGAAGTGCTCGCATAGAAGTTTCTTTTCAAAAGAAAAAGGTCTTTAATCATTTTAATCTCTATATATTCTTTAAAAAAAATAAGAAAACATACTTGAGGTACTTTCTCCTCAGAAGTTTAATGTATTTCATTTAGAACAAACCTCCTTTTTCCTCAGAAGTGCTTAAGCAGGAAACTTGAGCAGCCCTAGAGAACAAGTTTTAAGAAAGAGGCAAAAGCAAAATTATGCTTTCCAAACTGGGTTTAAAAAAGCAGACGTGTATTTTGTTCTGTTTTGGACAAAATAAACAGAGTATCCAAGAAACATGTACTCAAAGAGTACAACCAACAGAAAATGTAGACTTTGATGTGCAGAGGGGACTACTTCAAGACAACAGAATGTCTTCTTTCACATCCAGACATTCTGGGTGATTGTAGTCTGGCCTGTAAATAGTGGCACTATTTTGCATCCTTTTCTCTCCACCTCAAGATCATGTTTAAAAAACCCTTTCAAAGCACTTACCTCCTCTTTCAAGCACAATATTCTGAAGTTACATACCTATGCAGAAGCCCTCTAACAAGTGAGAAATTTCAAATCTAACGCTTCAGCAGGAGGGGCTCCAAGAAGGGAAAAATATAAAGCTAGAAATATGCACAATTAAGAGAACATGTTTTAAATAACCATAGAAGTTCTGCCATATGGAGTAACAAAAAGGGTCACGTGCTTGCACTGAGTGTGAGGCCAAATATAAAGATAGAATGGAATGACACCCGAGAGGAGGTCTCATTTATGTGAGAGCTGCTTAGCACATTAATCTGTATACCTATTTATACAGAACTGTTCCTGCCTTCTCCAAGTGTATTAGGTGAAAATTCCCATAAACCTGCCATTATCCAAAACATATGGCCATGCATATATTTGACAGCACTGTCCACTATAATGTGCAGTATCAAGAAAACACATGAAAGTTTCTCAACGCTTTAGACATTGACCTATTAAACTAAATGTCACTTAACATGGGGCTAAGCAATATGTAGGCAGTGATTGAAAGTTCTTACATTACCCAGAGAGCTCTTATGTGGCCAAATTACCCTCTGTTCTCAAGAGAACAAGTTTGCTCTGATGATTCACATCCTGTTTTGGAATCGACAATCACCAGTGCTTCCTCCCAACTGCACGTGGTAATTTCTTAAAGAGAGCATCGTTCTCTAAGGATACAAATTTGAATATTTTTCTTAATTTCATTTTGACCAGAGTGTGAAACAAAAGATGATCAAAATTTGTACACTGCTCTGGAAAAAGGCTATTATAGTGCATTTAGTAAAGCTGTCAGAAATAAGGGGCATTAAATAACAACAATGGACCTCGGAGAAATTAACTGTATCTCTTTATTGTTAACCAATGAATGTTATCCAAAATAGTAGATGTAATTGTAGCTTAATTGTACAACACAAAACATGATGCTAAAGGAAAAAGCATGTGGAAAATTACTTCACCAAGTAATCATTAAATGTATTCTTAGTATTTCTGCACCAGTAAGTGTTCCCAACTGCTGGTGACAGCAGCTATTACCACTTTGTTCATTGAGAAAAATCTGTATTACAAATGGTTGTTCCTGGTTGTTTAGAAAAAAAAAAAAAAAAAAAAAATCACACAGCTTTATAAATGGATCTAATCCATTCAGCCCTACTCTATATATTGTAGATTTATGAACAGCAAACTTTACTGGTGTTTTTTCCCAACACTGAAACTGATATATCAGTGTTAGTGCACACTTTCCAGGGAAAAATGAAAACTCACTGGAAGCACAGTATTTCACCTGCTATGGCAAACTGTTGGAATACTTCAGAAATTTGCTTAAGCTTCGATGTATGAAGCCTGTGAAATGAAAACTGTTCTTACAATGCACTGCGAGTAGAAATACCAACTTCCACCAAGCAGCATTTTGAAGCATGTGCACACCATCTGCACATCAGTCCTTAAGGTCAACCAGGTATGTTTAGCCCCACAAACCAAAAATATATTAATGTATCTTTATTTTATTTTCATGATGTCACCCCACAGAGCCAGCCTTTAACTCCACAAAATTAAAAAACCAAACAAACAAAAAAAAAAAAACCCAACAACTTAGTTGGACTGTTCATAAGAAATTTAAACCTATTGTGCATGAAAAAAATGTTTAATAAAATGGCAAATTTTAATAGATAAGTGTAAATTTATGAGTGCATAATATCAAACAGAAAAGAGCTGAACCATCCTCAGAGAAAGCAGGGTCTTCCACTGTAGATATTTAGTAGGGTACTCTAAGAGAAGGAATAACTGCAGTCCACATTAACTGTCAAGTTATTTCTAAAGTTCAATTTCTAAGCCAATTTCTCAAAAAAGCAGGTCTCCTTTTCAAGAGGGAAAGGACTTAATGATCTGACATCAGATATGACAATTACAATACTAGCTTCACTGAAAACTGAAGCTACAAACACTTTTACTCCAATTCTAGGAACTTTCATTTTGTATTTGGAAACCCAAAGACAAACTAACTGACATGCACATTCTACACCCCTCCCAGGAGATAGTATACCAGTGACAGGTTACAGCTTTAAAACACACAAGGTGCTTTTACAATTTAAACTCAACAAAAGGCAGTTAGACAGTATTTAGCACTATAAATTCATCTTAAAGTAAAACAAAACCCTAGGAGTAAGGGCTCCTAGCATTCTATGATATCACTGTGTAGTCAATTTAAACAGGTTGTTTTCATGGTGTTTGAAGGACCAGTCATCATGTACATAGTAGTGAGGTAGGATACTGTCCCCTCCCTGGGACTGATGTTTTCATATGCTCCCTTGCCAGAAAGGTCCAGGTCTCCCTACTGCAAATAAAATAATTACAAGCAAATAACACATGAAGCTTTGTTTTTTGTTTTGTTGTTTTGTTTGTTTTTTGTTTTGTTTTTTTTTTTTTTCTCTGCTGCATCAGAACATTTTGCACATCTAAAAAGAATCACCTAGGAAAAAGCAATAATTATTCAAACCTATCGGCAGCCACGTGCTGCCTGCAGGTAGTGTTCCATTTAAAAATACTTACTGGAACTACCACCTGCCATCCAGACCTTTGTGAACAGGTAGGCAAAGAAAACCATCAATGATGACAGGACATGAAACACCAAAGAATTTCACTTGGGAGGAAAAAAAAAAAATACACACAAAACTGAAAGTCAACAATATCAGACTCTTAATGGTGTAGCTATATTGAAAAATGTAATGTCAAACTTCATACTGAAATAGCACCTATCCAGTTTAGGTTCAGTTCCATTCTTCTATTTTTAATGTTTAAGCAATATATACACTTGTCAGTCATTATACACTTCGCATCAGTTTCCAAATAAAAAAAATATGAAACTATGAAACTGAAAACTTGATGGAGAAAAAACTGCTAGCATTCTCCACACCTTCCCCCTCCAAAAGCTAGGGATGACAGACTGCCTTACTGTTGAATAGCTTCCCCTAAATTTGTTCTCTAGCCACTGTAGTCAAACTGGTATTAAGTGCTTTGGCAAAGTGGGGTGCAATCCACCAAATCTGCAAAGGCCTGCTTTTTTCTCTGTTGGTGGTTCAGCTTTACGAGGAACATATATGCAAAATAACAGCTCTCACATTGCTTCAAACTCATCAATACGCTGCTTTGTATTGCCTTGTCGGATTTGTCGAAGAGTCTTGTACTTATCACGGCCTGCTTTAACATTCTCAGCATGAAGGACATCATTTTGTGTTTTCTTGGTTTCATCTCTGGCTTGAGCCAACTCAGAACTTAAAGCCTGTTGAATAAAACATTAGCATAAGTGCTTTGACTAATCTTTTAATGATTCTGGAATTTCCGATAACAACTATTCTGCAACTTGGATAAGGATTTCTTGAATGCCAATCTATGAAATGCTTGTTGTGCTGTTTAGTAACTCAAGTTGTGAGGTCTATCAGAAAGACTCCAGAGGGGAAGAGGAGGAGAGCATAGGATTCTTTCCTTGCGTAAGTGTGAGCATCAAACTGGGGGGGCGGGGGGGAGCCTCATGCTATAACAACCAAGAAGAAAGGGACAACCAACCAATATCATTCACAGTGTTCTAGAAGTGGAATAGATAGAAAGATGTTTGACTAAGGACAGCTCTTGTTTATCTCCCTGATCCTGTTCAGTGATTGGCCAAGCAGAAAGGATATTATACATACTTGCTACTAAGATATTGCTGCTAGAAAAAAGAAGCAGCTTTCCATTTCTTTTATTTCCTTCCCAAATAGATACTTGATAACAAGACAAAGGGTTACCACTAACATAGTTCATTATACTTTGAGGGCTAAGACTAGTCTAGGAGGAAATGTTCCATTTCAGGAAAATAAGATTAATCCAAAATAGGCACAAATCAGTTTTTGCATTTACAATGTCTGTGAATGCAAGTAAACACAAATATTATTAAGCAAACATCTGTTCATACCACTTAATGAATTTCAGTACTGAAATATGAAAGCATTATGTTTTAACATTCAATGTTCTGGACATTATATAATTATTAGAAGTATTTGCTGGCCAATATGACAACATGCTAATACTTTTAAGGTATAAAGCACAATCTTCCATCCAATCTTTCTATCTATACCACTTCTAGAACACTATGAATAATATTGGTTGGTAAATTAGTAGTAAACCTAGTATATGATAAAAACGCTGTTTCCTTGGCACACCATCATTTCAGTGAGATTTTTGACAAATAAAGAATGAAAACTCAAAGCCTGAATTATGTTGATACAATTATGAATCTTCCTTACCTGGAGCTGTTTCTTAACACGTTCATTTTTCTGTGTTTCTGTTACCCGTTCTTCCTCACTCCTGTGATTCATGACACCATCAGAAGACAGTTCTGCACTAGCTTCAGCATTGTTCTCATCATGTTCATCGTGTTCATTCTCTGTTGGAGGAATAACTGGTGGGGGAGGAGGTGGAGGAGGAGCAGACATCACAGATTTCAGTTCTTCTTTGGTCTTTTCCAAGTCCTCTTGAGCTGCAAAAGCCTAAATATAGTAAACAATACTTATCATCTTTGAAAATGATTTATGAATAGTCAGAAAAATAAAAATAACTATTTGAGATGTTTTCAGACACATGGAAACTGTCCTTTATAAATGATATGACTGGTTTATGCACTGAACATTGTCAAATAGCAATACAGGGTAAAAAAACATGTCTCAAAACCAGTGGTACAAGTCCAGCTATTTCCAGCAGTAGACAAGAGAAGAGTGAGAGAATAGGGTAGTCATGCCAATAGCTTTCAAACTTTCCTAGCCTCCTGAAATTTGAAGGTCAGGGACTTTCCAAGTCAAACGTAATGTCTTCGAATTTTGTATTCAACCAGAACTTGTAAGAAACTGTTCGATCACTTTTTGAACCTGTGCACACAATTACTATTCACATCCCATAGCTAATTGCAGATTTTATGAAGAAATACTTTGTTTCAAACTGCTGTCTAGTTGCATTTGATGTGCCTTTGTTACTGCGCTCATTCATCTTTTCACCACCACTCACAATTTCATACATCTCCCTCATGAGGTGCTTTCTTTTCCTACATGAAGCTCCAGTCTATTTCATCACCATACGTGAGGAAGCCATTTAAAATCTTTGACCATACCTTTGTGATGAGAGCTTCCCCCCCCTCCCCCTTCATGACTATTTAAGAAATGAGGTAAATAGAAACATAGGCTGGTTTCAGTAGACTGGATAGCAAAAACCTTTAAGAAACGCTTCTCTAAAGCCTACGGGAAATAGAGATTCAACCCTATGGACTTCCAGTGGGATTTCTGCACTCATCTCCCTTAGTTTCTTTGAAGTTTTGACTTCACACAAGATGAGCTCATTACTTTGTGCTGCCATTCTGATGCTTCCTCTTCTTTCTTTTTCTTGGCCTCCTCTAGAAGTGCAATCTTGGCAGTGAATTCGGCAAGTTCTGCTGCCTGAAAAAGAAAAAAATGAAGTGGAAGTTTTAATTTGGTATCATTTTTGGCTCTGCAGTGGAAGAAAGTAGAGTCTCTGCTGTGATTCGACTTGAAAAGAGTTAGTTACCATCCATCACTTCTCTGCTAAAAATAGAAATTTTAAGCATACATTACAGGGAATGATGAATCAGTACTCTTGCCTGATGGAATTAAGTCCAGAAAAAAAAAAAAAAAAAATCTCCCAGCAAGCTTTGGAAGTGCAGAAAAAAGCAAGCTGTAGTTACAAAGTAGCGTTTGGGGCTGTCTCAGTTCAATACAACCTTAATGGTTTCACCAATAGGATTATGATTCTGGATCATAATGTCAGTACTATTAAGCTAAATCTTGCCTTCAGAATTGTGGGCTAAGTTTAATGAAGATCAAAAGTTGTTTTATAGTTGAGAAATCATTATTTCTACTATTTTTGTGTCTTTCTCAGTTGTTATGCACAACTCCTGAATTACAAGTAGTCCAGCACAGACTGTGAGAAGATATTGTAAATGTTGGAAACAGAGAGGGGGGGGGGGACACCAAAACAACAAACAACAACAAACCACAGTGTCACTAACTCCCCAACACCACCATCAAACTTCAGAACAGACCTGCCTCAGAGAACAGGTTTCCCAGGGGACTGCAGAAAGAAGCTACTCTTGTTCTCAGCTGGATAAGCCTGACACTATTAGAAAGAGAATGTAGTGAGTGTTGTCAATTTGAAATGGCTACTTCATCATTTAATTTCCTATAGCTCCAGAGTTTTATTTTATTCTTGCAAGTAGTAGCAAATCTAATACAGTTTTCTATAAGAGTTCCCACAACAATCTGTAACAGTACTTCACATACTTCTATGTGCGTTTCAACAATTTGACAAAACAGATATAACCAAGAATAAAGGATTCATTTTCAACTATCTTTTTTCAATTTGTTTCAAAACAGCGTTAAAGCTTCTTACTAGTTGCTCCTGGTTCTTCATTTGATCAGCTGCCTGCTTGGCTAGAGCAGCTTTAGCTTCTTCAGCTGCTCGACGCTCTTTTTCCAGGCGCTCTGCTTCCTCTTTTGCACGCTTTCGTTCTTGATCCAGTTCTAGAGCTCTTCTAGTCTGTTCCTCTAGCTCTGCCAAAATAAGTTTGGACACAAAATATTACTGCCTAGGTCTTGCTCATATGTAACACAGGTAACAGCTGTAACATGCTCAAAATAAAGTAACCTAGAAAGCTGGCAAAGATTTACAAGGCTGCCTCAAGCTAAGAGGAGCTGTTGAGCATGTTACCTGAAGCTATGCTCTGTGTCTGATTTCCGCCCCCCCTCCTTTAAGACACACTTTTGGATATACTTTATCTCACCTGACAGTTCTGACAGCCCAGTGCTTCAGAAAATTATCACCTCACTGATAAAACTAAACACCTAAATACATGTACATATATATATGCACATATACCCTCACTGTTACTATTGAGAACATTATATATACATTAAATCACACTCTCTTACAGTAAAAAAGCAAGAAACTCTTCTACTCTACTGAAATGCCTGACAAAGATTCCTTAATTGCAACAGACAATTCAGGTGTGTGCTTCCAGCAAAATGACCTAAGAAACACTGGATGTGTCAGAAAAATTCTCTGTAGAACAGAGCCAAAAAGATGCAAACAAGAAAATTTCAAATCAAGGGAAGGATAATAGTTGTCTACCTCCCTGGCTAGCAAAATATTGCAGACTAAAGGGCAGAACCCTAAGTGAAATAGGAAGAAGTAATAATCTACCAGTATTGCAAGGTAAAATTTGTACAGGCAAAAAATACACTCCTCTGATCTGCAAAATGAAGTTACTATGAAAAAAGTCCTTCTGAAGCTCCTTGTTGATTCTAATGATAAAATTTCCATTATGTTTTTGTGTAGGCATTGCTACCGTAGATTCCTTCACCCAAAAATCTAAATAACTGCTCAGTTATTGGGATGATCCATTTGCCCTTCATATGCTTTAACACTAAAAAAGCATCTCCCCAGGTATGCTGACACATCTGTAATATTTGCACTTGTAGCTTTAAGTAGGTCTCATGTAACCAATATTCTTCAGTTGTTTTCCCAGGCCTACTACCTCAGTTATAAAATTAAATGAACAGCATTACAAGTATGTGGAGTTGTACAAATGGAGTACTTAAATTATATAAATGCATAAGTATTAAAAAACATTACTCAAACAAAATCTTCCAGCGAAGATAGAGGACACAACTACCAAGACAACTACAGAACGCAGATATCATTTATATAAACACTTTTCCATATATGAATAGAAGGCTAACAAGACCAGCAACACATGAACATTATGCATTGCATCAGAAATTAGGCTATATTGTTTACAAAAGTTACGAGAAAGTGTACATTGTTAAACCTTTAGAATCACCCTGACATCCTTTTGTCCTCGGCTATATAGCTCTCCCTTAAACAATTCCAGGGCACGGTTTGTGTATTAGCTGTCTGGATGAGTCCAAGCTATTCTACACTGAAAGACTCAAAAATGCGGGGATAGAGCTGGAGAACAGTGTCAAGCGTATGTAATTTATTTGTATAGATTTAGTCAGTGATTCCCTGTACCGTTCCTGAAGCCAACAGTTACGAACAGAAGAGAGAAGCAGAACTTTTATGAATACAAACCAAACCTGAAGCAAAAAAATAACATGGAGGGGAGGGACTAGAAAATAGTGGAGGCAGGGAATCTATGGAGTGGTTCAACACCAAAAACTGATTGGTGAAACTACTAAAATCTACTAAAATTAGATGAGATTTTAATTTTAAAAATCTCAAATATTACAAGGGAATAGGAAAATGAAGGAACAACGAATTTCCAAATGAAAAGCTCAATTCCACAAAATCCTAGAGGAAGTATTTTGAAACTTCCTCTCTAATTTCCCTGCTCTCTCCAACTCCAGGTCGTCAGCACTTTAAGCATTTCGTAATTCTGAGTTGAACAGCATATGCATTGATTTCCTTTTTATTAAAGAAACTGAAACTTTTGCTATATTAGGAATTGGTTTTACATTACAAATATACACACATATGCACGCACACCATCTTTTAACTCTTAACACTGAAAAAGAATCTCTCAAATAATACAGCACTAAATTCTTGTTATTACTAGGAAAATAAATTTTTAAAAAAACCAAACCAAAACAACAAGAAAGCCCCCACATACAAAGAGAATTGAGGAACTGAACTACCCAGCTGAACTAAGCATTGCCACCAGATATAAGTAATCCAGGACCAGTAAGAGCTCACCTTTCTGAGCTTTCATTGTTTGCTCCTCAATTTGCCTTAAGCGTTCCATTAATTCTTCCTTTTCACGCTCTATTCTTTCCTTTTCCTTTTCTGCTATCTCCCTTTTCTTCTTCTCATTTTCTAATTGTGCCCTAAGAAAAAAAAATAGTAAAAGGTTTTTTTAACCTCAGATTAAATTCTACTCTAAGGATGCTGGCATCTTACTTTTCAGTTTACTCAGCTAGCAGAGAAGCACGTAATTTTAAACGTTTCAAATCCAGTTTACAATGCAAGAAGCACCAAGTTTCTGTTTCAAAAGACTGTACATTGAAACAATTTATGAACAGATTTGATTAGCAACCTTGGTTATGGTTCAACCAGGTAAATCCAGAATTATACCTGCATTTGAGACACAGCTGATGTTTCATCTGGGCTAGAAATGGCAACAGTATTTTTTAAATATACAATAGGTAAGGCATGACATTCTTCACTGAACTTGCTTTAAAGGTTCACCTGAAGAGTATAAAATTCTCTAAGGATCACGCAACAGAAAGTTAAGACTGTTTCACAAAAACATGATGAGAAACAACAGTACAGCTACTATTACTATGCTGAAAGCTCAAAAAAGATACGGCTTTCTATTACGACAAGTGAGCCATGCCAACCCACAAACCTGCTTACATACTACAGAAAGAAAAGCAGCTCTCTCTTCTAGAATGCCAAGATGTCTGATATTCTATGACTTAGTTTTCTTAAAAGGGTAGAAGAATTTTTTCTGTTTCATGGAAGTTTGTTAATTACCTTTCCAATTGTTTCTGATGTTTCTCCTCTCTAGCTTGGGCCTTCATCTGTTGCACTTCAATTGTATCAGGTTTCCTCCTCCTCATGTACAATTCATGATTTCCCATACACAGTGCCAAAATTCGCTTGTTAATTCTCAGACGGGGTGCATAAAAAACAAAATCCTAGCAAAAATAGCATATACATTAATCTGAAAATACAGTTGTGACAAAACTCAAAGCGTTATTGCATGCTTGTACTTGTTAAATTTAAACTTACAAGTATTTGACATTCATCCTCTGAGCCACCCAACATCAAAATCTATAAGTCTAGTTACTGTCAGGAACTTGCAACATAAATTCAGTTACACCTCGATTCCTCCATGTAGAGGTTAGCTATTTTGCACAAAATTATTTATTTAATCTTCTAAAAAAGTGAGACTATACTCTACTTTATTTCTGAAGAGTTTTGACCTAGAAAGTCTCATGAAATGTGCTGCTGTAATACAAAATAAAATAAAAAAGAAAAACAGAGGTGGGGAGCCAGAGGATTTAACATCTGACATCATGGCTTTTCAACACATCACAAAATATTAGTTGACTTAAATTAAAAGAAGAAGAAACCTTAAGAGTATCAACCAGAATGAAAAGACCAAAAAAATAAACATACTGTACTTCAAAATTTCCTTCTGATTACTGACTATTCTACCAACAAGAATAATTAATGTCACAAAATATTTACTAATGCCATAATGCCAGAGCAAGTCCCTGCAGGCTTAAATCTCTTCATTTACAAAGGCATACTATTCTACACACTACTTACAGGGGCCTTTTTGTCAATTGGCTTTATGACAAATTTTTTGTCATTAAAAGAGATGTTTCTTATTTCACTCCAAGGAAAACCAATCTTGGGTGTCAGCCTTCAAAGAGAAAGAGTTCTCATTAGAAGCAGCAAAGATGTGAATTTTATTTATGTCCACTAAGCCTTAACTCTGTACTATTTTCACTAGCAAACTTTGTTACATTTACAAAACATAACAACAGTTCAAGCATATTTTGGCAGACAGTTTTATTTTTTGTACATGTTTCCATCAAATGAATAAATTACACGGCACTGTAACAGAAGGAATTTCTACTGGTGACTTATTCTACTACCATGAAATAGATTCTAAACATCACAATCACGTACTGATTCTTTATAAGCTATTGATAATTCTGTTTTCAGTGAAAAGCAAAACTATTTAAATTTGAGTAAAGTCTGACATTTCAAAGATTGAAATTAAATTAGCCTTCAGCAATGTTGTACTTCAATTTAACTCGGATGTTGTATGTGTTCTTACATTTCCAAATTTCAAGTAAATTTCCCTTGTATCTTAAGTAAAATAAATTCAGTTCAGAAACTGTTAAAATGTTATGCACCAACAGCACAAGTTAGTTTTTTCTCTCCATGACCACAGAAATCTTTTTTCAATTCATATTATCTTATCTACAAGCATAAGAAAAATTATTTGATTGTAAACTATCAGGAGTTAGAAAATACTAAAGACTGGATGATGGTTCAATCTGATCTGAACATTTTCTGAGTATTTCCTTCTTTCAGGAGTTATATTGCCATCTAATGGCAATTAAGGCTTACAGAATTTTGTTACAGAGTATATACATCGAAGAGCATTATGTTCCAGTTTAGTTGACAGCTGTTATCTGGGGTTCGACACATCATGTTTAACATCAGATCACTGTGAAAGGACTGCTGATATCAGATACTACTACCAAATGCTTGGAAAGAGAAACAAGAGAATAAGTCTGTTCTGTTTTCAGATTCTTCAAATTCTGTACATCTCAGCTTTCTCTTCAAGTAGGACAGAATATTTGATCTCTATCAGGACACAAGATTCATCGATTTTCTTTGATGTCTAAAAGGTTTCACTTTTAGATACCAAAGTTTTTCATGCTCTAACAGCTATAATTCTAGTCTCTGCTCTTACAAAATGTTTCTCATTAAACATGTTGCCCAGCTTCTCAATGTCCTTTTTGTCCTGACTGAAGAGGAAGTCCTGAGGGAATGAAAAGTACAGAAAGAAACCATATAAAGATGGTCTAGCTATCATATATCCATATTAAGCGACATAAATTTAAGTTTCCACCGAACTGCTTTTCCTTTCCCTTCTTTTGCATCCCTATTTAAACTTCAAAATGAAAACGTTCTGGCAGTTAACATCTATCTCTTTCTTCTACATAGATTAGAAGGCCTTTGAGAACCTGTTTTGCTAGATGATACTGAACAAACAAAAAGGTGGTTTTCGTATAATCTCAGATAGGATCTCCTAGGACAGAACTGAAAAAATTAGTATTAGCCACTTACTTATCATCATGCTCATAAATATTCAGACCCAAAGCATCAACTCCTAGCCACAATTCAGTTCCTTTTTTATTCTTTATTTCAAAATAGTTGACTCCATACATTTCCAAGTCTTGTGCTATCTTAAGGTATTCCATCATAGAATCTTCCCTGATGAAAGAAGAAAAAAAAGTCATAGTGTAAACCAATCAAAAGTACATTGTAAGAATAAGGGAATTGCAGAATAACTAATTAGTGTTAAAAATTTAGTTGACTCAGGTACTTGTAGAGGTCTACACCCTAATACTCAAATAACAGTCCAATCATTGCACTTTGTCTTTTCACCCTGGGAGATAAGGAAATACTAAATATATTTTAGAGGCAAGCAACTGTGGACAAAGGCAGTTGACAACCTTACCAGAAATTCTGTAGGTAAGCCAATAACCTAACTGGAAACTCAAGCCTAACTGAAGCTTTCATGGAAGATTTTGATAATCACCTAACCTGGTTGGAATAAAAGAAAGCAGTTTCCAAACAAATATGCCACCTCCCAAAATACAACCTAATAATAAGAACCACCCCTTAGAGGTCTTGGAACATCTTTTACATAATTACCTTAACATTCCCCTGTGCTCTTCATGCCAGTTCTGTATCCTTTCTTCCCACTGTTCTTTTGTCAGTTTGTGCTGTTCTAACACACTGTGAATAGAAGTTGTTGATATTATACGACACCGACAATCAATTTAACTTCAAAGATTTAAAAATAAGTTTGGTTATGCAGCATAACATAAGCTTTGATTGAATAAACTTAAACATGATTTCCTATACACTGCTCACCTTTTTAAACCAAATAGACACAGAAACTCTGTATTTCAACAAACACACTTTTAAAACAGTGTGAAATCACTTCTTTTTTCATGGTATTTATACTCTAGAATATAGAAGTCACACCATGGCATACCTCAACTTTCAGTAAAGTTGTAAAATGTAATGTTTGGAACACCTGAAAATGCAGAGCTATAAAATCCTCATGTTATAAGGCTGCAAATTAATCTCCAGGTATGCAGAGATACACTCAAGCTTTCATTCTACTGTCATTTGAAAGAAAAAGTAACATATTCAGACAAGCTAGCTGTCTAGTTTGTTGGGTGCTCGGGGCTTTTTTTTTTTGTTTGGTTGTTTTTTTGGCCTTTTTTGGGGGGGGGGGGGGGGTGTTTAAATAAATAAAATCAATAGTGAAGCAGTTTCAGAAAGCTATGAGGTTTATCTACAGGAGGCTGCAATGATGGCATTATATTTTGACCTACTAGAATTTTCAGTATTACTGTAATATACTGTAGTATTGCAGTAAGAAATCAAATACATGTAACTTTAATATGTTTTTATTCCAGTCACCTAGCATTTAAAAAATTTCTAGAGAAATTCTTCCAAAGCACAATTTAAAAAATAAAACAAACAAACAAAAAAAAAAAAAAACAAAACCAAAAAACTGCAAGATGATGTTACTACAAAAGTCAGAACAGTTGTTTTCCTTCCTTTCTCTTTATTCAGGAAAGTAAGGTTTTACTACTTTTCCCTACATTTTTATGAAAGTACAATAATGAATAGACTAAGTGATGCAGAAGATACTAATGCAGTGTTTCTTCTGTTACAGAATCTTTGTCACTCGATTTGCTATTCCGCCCTGTATTTAGTGAAATGCACTTTTCAGTGGCAGCTGTAACACATTTTGCTTAGTGTGCATCCCTATCAACAGGCTTTCTTCCTCAAAACTGAGACAGAGATTTTAGTTTTTGCATCTGCATGAAGCTGACATGTTCAAAGCTAAATGACAGAAAACCATGAAATGACAGCACATCCTTTCTGTTTGTTTTCTCATCTTTAGTCTTGAATGTAAGTATAAGCCTAAATATAACCCTTAGGGAAGCCTGCACCTGAACGTACAAAGTAGAACAGCCTGCTTTGGCTGTAATAATCTAAAAGCATACTGACAGTCATTTACAAATACCGATTACATAAAAAAGTTAATTCAAAGTCTTCTAGGACAGTGTTAATTTATTAAAGAAGTTCTGTAATTAAATCAGGCCTGATTTTTACATTGTGATATTTACACTGAGAGGTCCAGCATTATCTCTTCTACCCCTCCAGCAGATATTCACAAAAAGTTCAAAAGCTTTCATAGCAGTATAATATAAAGCTAACAACTAAAAAAATAAAGGACAAAACAGGATATTGCAAAATATACTATCCCAGGATAATGTAACACAAGTGCCCACCCGAAAATAAAAGTCCTGCACCCAAGCTATTCTTCACAGAATCACAGAATGGCTGAGGCTGTAAGTGACCTCTGGAGGTCATCCTGTCCACCCCTCTGCTCAAGCAGGGTCACCTACAGCCAGTTGTCCAGGACCATGTCTACACAGCTTTTGAATATCTCTAAGGAGGAAGATTCCACAAGCTCTCTAAGCAACCCGTGCCAGCGCTCAGTCACCCTCATGGTGACCTGTGCTTTCTTGGGCTTTACAAATTAAGTTAAATTTCTACTTCTACAGAAATTCTTCGCACTTTCTTCTTTTTGAATTTAACTTGAAAGATATAAGGCAATGGGCACAAGTGAATTACACTTGAACTCAATTTTCTACTTTATTTCTTTGCTTTGAAGGTGGTCAAACACTACAACAGGTTGCCCAAAGAGGTTGCAGAGTGCTCATGCTTGGAAAGATTCAAAACCCAACCGGAAAAGGCCTTGAGCAACCTGCTGTAATTAGCATATTTCAGTTGGAAGGGACCTACAATGATTATCTAAGTCCGACTGCCTGACCACTTCAAGGCTGAACAAAAGTTAGAGCATGTCATTAAGGGCATTGTCCAAATGCCTCAAACACTGACAAGGTTGGGGCATTGACCACCTCTCTAGGGGACTCGACTCTGAGCAGGGGGACTGGACTAGATGATCTTCAGAGCTCCTCTTCCAACCTCAAATGATTCTGTGTTTCTATGATATCCTCAAAGCTGGCAACATCTTTGGCAACAGCCATCTTGTCATTTGATCTCCTCCAGTCTCTCTTCACATGCTGCTGCTGAAACATCACTAGCAACAGAGTACCTCAGCAAGAACTTGAGGCCTTGTTGCTACCCAGCTCACAGTTTTGAGCCAAGAAACATGCAGTAGTTTTGACAGGTGAACATTAAGACTCAATAATTAACAGGAACTGCAAATCTTGTCTCACCTTTTCCAGTAAAATTTTGCAAAGCTAGTCTACTTTGGGAAACAAGTATTTTTGACATTATATTGTATTTGGTTCTGAAGTATTTTTATGATGTACTTGTTAGTTTTCTGGAAAATCCAGTGACAGGAGGCGACACAGGAATAATTGTGTTAGAACGAATACAAAAGCTATGTGCTCACTCAGTGCAGACTGGCACACGACTGGTTAAAAGCATATGCCAGAAAAGCATCTGAACATTTGTCTACTGAAAAGGAGCATCTGAAGTATTTGAATCTGCATCGTACACAACCACTCCAGTGTTCACAGGCTGTCATCGTAACTGAGCAAAACCCAAGATTTGTGAATAAACACATTCAGTAATGACAGTTTTACTGGTTCTACATCTCCCTGCCTTCCTAACAAAGGGTATTTTTCTAGACATGGATATAGACTTCACTGTCGCAAGAAGCAAGCAAACAGCCAAAACCAAACTCTTAGCCAGGATTTTTAAAAATCTGAAACATTTTAGAAATATTTCTTTAAATACTTCACCACAGTCCTTTGAAATGCTTTTTTGCTTGCTAGAAAATTCTCAAGCTTAGTTACACTAATCAGCGAGTTTCCACTTTTACTTTTCAAATAAGAGACACAAAGCATACGACTTTTAAAGAAACCTCAAATTATTCCATGGCTGTCATTTCTTTGAGGATGCATTAATGTTACATATTCAGTAAGCACGCATTTGTCCACAATACATCACTATGGATTCATCTACAATAACAAAACTGTCTAACATTGTACATTTGTGTTGCAATGCTTCTCTAGCTGCCAAAACATGACAGGAGCATGGTTTCAGTTGCATAAAGAAACAGAACTATAATCTTGGTGCTTGCTGTTCATAACCAATTAGATGAGTTACTAATACAAAAAAGTTTGTACTCATCAGCAGTGGCAACAATTTAGATTTTAAATTTTCTGTCCAGGCTAGCATGTGTCTGCAATATATTTCATTTGCAATACACTTCATAATTATTTTCAGGAAATAAATATCATTTAAATGTACAAAAACATCAAGAACTGTAGAAAAGGAGTGAGTATCAAATTAATCTCAGTGACCTCTATATTAGAATATTTTGATTTTAATTTAGCAGGAGCAAGCGTCCAGGAATATTAGATCATTTCTGGAGTACTTTGGAAATTCGTTCAACTAAATCTGTTTAGATGGTTTTGGACAGGACAGAAAATAGGTCTCAAGAAAGTCACGGTTGTGACACTTCTTTTATTGTGCTGGGTTTCTGTGGCACTGGTTTTTTTTTTTGGTCGCTGGGGAGGGGCCTACAACAGTGACCCCTCTGAGAAGCTTCTCACAAACTCCCCTGGGCTCCAAGTCGGACCCACCTAGGGCTGGGGCCGAGCCAATCAACTGCACCTCTGTGAGAACGTATTTAAGAAGGGGAACCTGAGAGAGGGTTGGGACTTGGAGGAGGAGTTGTGAGAAAGACTGACACGAAGGAAGGAGAAGGACGTGGAGGAGGTGCACTGGAGCAGAGACCCCCATATCCCGTGGTGAGACGGCAGAGCTGGCCACACACGGAGGTCCATGGTGGAGTTGAAGCCAACCTGAAGCCTGTGGAGAAGCCCAAGCCAGGACGGGCGTCTACACTTAAAGGAGGCCGGGACCCTGAGGGGAGAAGCGGCCCCCACTGTTGTGGTTCAGCACTGGGAGGACTGGAACACACGGGGGGGACCCACGCCGGGGCAGCACCGGAACGGCTGCGGCCCGTGGGGGGGACTCACGCTGGAGAAGGTTCGTGTAGGACTGTCTGCAGTGAGAGGGGGGGCACGGGGAGCCGGGGAGGGATGTGCAGCGCTCACCCCACCTCCCGAGAAGGAGGGAGCAGGAGCTGACTGTAACCCCCATCCCTGCCCCTGCGCTGCTGGGGGAGGAGGGGGAGAGATCTGGAGCAGAGCTGAGCTGAGGAAGAAAGCAGGAGTGAGGGGAGGTGGTTTTGGATGTGGTGGTGCTTCTCACTGTCCCACCTTGTCTGTTAAGTGTTGTCTTTGTTAGCATTTGAATTAAAGTGATGTTTTCCTTTCTTCCCCTAATGAGTCTGTCTTCTGCCTGTAACCATAATGGGCGAGTGACTCCTCCCAGTTCTTAGGTGGATTCCTTGAGCCATTCCTGTTCCTATATTCTCCCCCCCCAATCTCTGCAATGAGGGAGAGAGTGAGCGAGCGGCTTAGTGGTGCTCAATTGCCCTCTGGGCCTAAACCACGACAGTTATTTGAAGTCTAAATTAGGATCTCTACATTTTACTAGCAAAACATGCACTCTTAAAAAAAACTACCATTAGCACACATTATCAATATTTTAATTATTAAAAATGTGCTGTAATTAAGTTTATATGCAGCAGATGACGCAAACACAGTCGCACTTACCGCTGAGGGAGAAGTCTGTCATTGGCTAGGTAGCCTAGTTTATGTATCTCCTTACTGTAATCGCCATACTTGGATTGGACAGCATAAGAAGCCAGAAGAACCGCAGTTTCTGGTGGGCAATATATTTCATCATTTAATATCGCTTCTTTGACTTGCAGGAAGAAAAGTCTCTGAGTTATTTCCTGAATTAATTCTTCAGATACATCCTCTGGAAAAAACTTGGCCCTGAACTTAAACTGCAAAGGATTTTCTTTCCTTACATCTTGCTGTGTTACCTGAGGGAGAGGAATAAAGGAAAAGTAGAAAGGGTACTAAACGGTAAATTAAACATAATTAACTTCCTAGTCATGAACTCTTTAGCTCCTCTACACTAAAATCCAGTGCCTCCTGACAAGCCCACTATGGAACTCACTAAAGGTTCACATGGCACTGAATCAAGTACACCAATTTGGAAAAATCAGACAATTTTTAAATACTACTCAAAGCCTGTTTAAGAGGATTTTTTTGTAGGCTTGTGTGAATTTCTAATTATCACAATAAAAATCTGGAAAAAAGAAGTTGCAATACATATTCTAAAAAAATAAATCAAAACTATATCCAAGCATGAATTCCAGGAAGTAACAAATTAGGATCTAACAAGTTTTCTTTAGCAAGAACAACAGCACATTTCTTCAATGTAAGTGTAAACTTGGATTCTTTTATAAGTGTTTGAAGAATTGAACTAAACCCATGTGTTTTGTTCCTGTGCAAAAAACATAATTCCATTAATCACATTATTTTTCTAGAATGGATAAGCCTTATAATCATGATTTCTGCAAAGAGATCAGACACGGTCATCTTATGTTCTTAAGTAAGTCTCTACTTAAAAATTAGGTTTTGTTGAAATTTGATGTAGAATTTTCCATTTCATTTGGGCTCAGCTTTCAGCACTGATTACGACTAAAGCAAAAACATTCAAATTTAAACTTTAACATCAAATAATACAGTGATTGTTAAAAGGTACATTCATAACAAAATAAATCTCATGCATGACAATTCCTCAAGCACTTTTAAAACACGTTTAATTTTATGTTCACTAGTACTCCCTCTAGAACTTCATTACACACAAAATGATGCATGTTTGCTTGACTTGTAGGAAGTACCAAAAACCGTAAATATAATGCAACTATTTAATCACGAACATAAGGCAGCATAAGTACTATATTCAACATTTCAGACGTAAATTTTACAATCTACCTACTAGATACCTAAGCATACGTTTAGGAGCTTATTATTAGTGCCTTCTTTAAAGATCTGTAGCTGTGCACATGCAAATTCCTGAAACTCAAATACTTCACACACACACACACCCCAACTGTAAAACATGCTATATATTTTGCTGCATGAAAACAGGACAATGACATGAATTTCTGTTTTTCTAACGCATGCATCACCATGGTGCTGGAAATACAGAAAACCTTCTCAAATTAAATGTTGATGCAGTTTTGCATATTGTTTCATAACTAGTCAAACTTAACACTGCATTTCATCATTTGCAGTAAATGAAAGGCAACTTTTCAACTAAATTTGAAGACAGCTATATCTCACCTACAACATTAAAGCAGCAAGCCTTATAAAAGTGTATTTCAAACTGTACACTAGCCTGAATATTAGAGAATTGTTACCTTTTTATTTAGCTTCAGCCAAGTTGAGTAGCCTTTGCTGTCCACATACTGTAACCCAAAAAACCAGACTTCACGAAGACCAACAGTTTTCACCACCTAAAGGTAAACGATCCATAATCATCAGTAATCACTACAAAACAGGATGTTTTTAATGGTAATTAAGCAACAGAAATCATCTCAAACTGAAATGTAATCAAGTTTTACAAGACCAAAAAAAATTAAAAGAGGAGCAAAACATCAGTTTCAGGGAAGCATTCACCTCAGTTCTAAACAAACTCATGCTATGTTGCCAAACTACCAACTGGAACGTGCAGCTTACTGCCTACATCAAACTCAGCACCTGAGGAATACAAACACAACCCTAATATTTGAAAGACAGCTGGTAAAACTATGGTAAAGAATACTACTTGTGGACAAGTATGAGGTACTGAGAATGAATTACCTCCTTCAACTATTTTTGAGATCTGATGAGAGTTAATGATAAAAGGGATAAGGATGAACTAGATGATAAACCATGCATGGATTTCCTGTAAGATTTCTGATCAGGTCTACCACCAAAAGCGGCCAAAGAAACAAAATTGTCCTTGAATATAGGAAAGGACTTTTTATGGATATACTAGTTAAAAAGAAAGAAAAAAAACCAAACATTTTACACAACAGACTTGTAGCCTAACCACTAGGGAAGTCCCTCAGGACTTCATATGTGATCTGCAAAAAAGGAAGTGATAAAATCTGCTGTAGAAAACCTTCTATAAAGATCTGGGAATGAACAGTAAAAAGAAAGATGAACCTCAACAGAAGATGATAGTTAATAAAAACAAAATACTGTATGTTAAAGACAACAACTTTAATTATGCAAACAAGGTTCTTGTAAAGGAAAAAAAGCAACAAAGCTGTTATACTACTATACACAGCTACAGTATTCCCAAATCTCTAGTACTACATATGGACTGGTCACATCAACTAAAAAAAAAAAAAGGATGCTGCAGCACTGGAAATGTTTCAGAAACATTGAAAAGAATGATCAATGACATGGAACATATTCTGCATAGCTAAGACAAGAACTAAGGCTACTGGCAGAGAAATGAAGAAAGGAAAAATATATAGATCTATAAAACTTGCATGTCATGTAGAAGAAAAACAGAATGATTATTCATTATTTCTCATCATGTAAGAATTAAGAGTATCAAAAGAAATCATTAGATAGAAGATTCAAAGCAAATAGAAAGCACTTTTACTACACAGAATATAATGAAACTGTGGAACTACCTTGTAAGTTTTTTGCATAGTAAAAGTACATGTGGATTCGGTAAGCAATTAATCAGAAAGGTCCAGCAAAGATTATTAAATAAGTGTAAACTCTGGCTCCAAAAGATCCAGTATGACAGTACTTACGTATGTGCTCAGGTTGGACCATGCTGGCAAGCTGGTTTATTGAAGGCTGTTTTATGGAAGCATTCAGATGCATGTGAAGTAAATAGAATTTTACACTTAGATCCTCCTCCATTTTAAAGTAGTACTATCGGGTTGCAAAATTAAGATTTTGAAAATTAGAAAATGTCACAAGATAGCTGTGCAAACTTACTTCTGATGCCTTGCATATTTGTATTATTAATTAACAATCATTCAGGTGTGCACCTTTTTTCCTCCTCTACCCTTTCACCTTGAAACTCCAAAGCACAGAATGGACAATGTTCATGGATCCAACCTGATTCCTTTAGTGAGCAAAGTTATTTTCTCTAGAATTCCTACATCCTTTACTTTAGAACATAAGAAATGTTAAGAACAAGTTTGTTACCAGTATGGTCCTGAGTTAACATTAATTTTGGAGTCCCAACACAGACATTTCAGACCTGCTGTTTCTTTTGGCACAGATCTATATGATGCTGATCAAACTATTTATGACTTAATCAGATGACTGTGAATGCTCCTTATTTTGCAGCTGTCCAAGTTGAGCCTTTGTACCAGATCAGCTCCCTGAGCTGCAAAAGAAGCCAGAAAGAACTGCAGATGCTCAACAGCTCTGCCCATAAGGCATAAGGAGACAAGTTATGCTTATGCTCACGTCAAAATATTTTGCTCTCACCTGCTAACTACAGCCCTTCAACCAAGAGGAACACTGCACATTATTTAAATACAGACAACTTGTCTACTGCAATGAAGTTACACATGCTTGCAAATCAACACTAAAACCAGCTTAGACATTAGCCTGTTTTACTTCAGACTCCGTAAATAAGGAAGGAACATCATCTATCACTGCCTCTCAGCTCAAAGGAAAGAGAAAAAAAAAATCTGAAACTTTGTACCAATATAAGCACTTACGCACTGCAGTAGCATGATATGAAAAATCAGAAACTTAGAAGTTTGATTCTGACTCAGAAGATTCATTAAGTGGCTTCAGGCAAGTCTTAATCACATCTGTAAAACAGATTTATCCACCATCACATCCTACAACTTGCCTGTTAATAGGCAATAGAATATTCTTGGAAAAGAAAAGCAACCAGAGCAATAGACAGGCTTTGGCAAATCAAAACCTAACATAAAGACAACCTAGCAAGAATTTAATTGAGTCAGCTTCCAAAAGATTGTAAGGGAGACTTCTGAGATATCTGGAAAGGACAGTGGGGCATAACTTGCAATAAAGGAGACAAGCCTCCCATTCTTCCTGAATGTTCACTGCAGTAAACCAGAGGTACTGATGTTCAGTGCTAACACCTTATTGAAAAACAACAAAACAATCCCCACCATTACCACCAGTGTGTGGAAACATGACCCACCACAGGGTTTTTCTTCTCCTATGAAAATTATAAATGCTGAATTTGTTGACTAAAGGAGGACGTATTCCCTCTTGCCCATTCTGACCACTGACAGGATAGACAGGAGGACTAATGATAAATATGTTAAAATAAGAGTAATTTAAAAAAAAAATAGGTTTGTGCAATAAATAAGAACTTTACTAGTTTCACAATGGAAGAGAAAAGAGAAAGCCACAGCTGCCAGATGTTGAATTGTTGTCTGCTATCAGATGAAGATGATGAAAACACACATACGGAATGGAAAACAAACCAACAACTCCAAAAAACACCAGTTAAACTTAAAAGAACCACTGACTTTAAAAAAAATAGGACAAGTTCACCATAAACATAGAGGAGCACTGAACAACAGCTAAATTCATGGCGAAGTTGGTCATTGCTTGCAGAAAATAACAATTCTACTGTCTTGTCCACCATTTCTGCATAAACCCTGAATACCAATCGTCTCAATAACAGTGCTGTTCAATTCTCTTTCTAGAGAGAAACAGCGTAACTTTTGTCTGAAAATTTTATGCTGGTTTTGCCATACAGTTCAGCTCTTGATGTTACTCTGTGGAACTTGCATTTGAATTTAAGATCAGGCTGAAAATGCTTCTCTCCTCACATACAACTATGCTGGTTGATTTTGTTTGACCTAAGAATTTTTCAATATAAACTTCCAGAAGTTGATTGTAAGAGCCGGTGATGTCAAACGCCGCACAGTGAACTGAAGAACAAAGTTGAAGAGAGCATGAAAAATAATTCAGGGCTGTATCTTTGTTCCCTGTTTGTGAATGCCCCAATTTGGATGAACCTGATTACCTGGGCACAAGACATTACACAGCAGAATGTCACCCCACCCAATACTGCATGGCAGAAGATAGCAAAGGCTGGCAAAAGACAAGTAATAGCTTGAGGCTTCTGTGCCATAGAATACCATACTTTTTATTTGATAGTGGTGTTGGTTTGACAAAAAGCAGGACAGCCCCTTTCTTCAAGAAGTCTTTGTAAGAGTCATGAAGCCTATTCCTATGTAGAAGCTGAAGATGCACTGCTACTGATGTTAGAGAAAGGGAAGGGCGCTAGAAGTGTTGAGTCAGTCATTTTAAACAGAATATCATTTGCAATTTTGTTCATCTAAAAGAAAAAGCCCAGTGTTACAAAACAATAAACGTTATCCTTTCGACTTCTATAGTAAGATATTTAATTGACTCAAAGGTCAATGAAAAGTGTAAGTTCTGAAGGCATTCTTTCAATGTGTTACTTTCTCATTACATAGTTTAAACATCTATAGTGAAGTGGACAGAAACAAAAGTTCTACTAGACATAATTGTTGATATAGTTAAACTGGTTTTGAAGAGTAACTTCGAGTATTTCTGCATTTTTAACTAAATGCATACATCTTAGATCTAGACATTGTAACATTTTTTTATTTTTTATGAAGGGAAAAAAACCCAACATATTCCCAAGTTTCTATTCTTAAAATTTTCTAAAACACTCCACAATCTTAATCAAAAATTGTTTCAAGATTCCGATGACTAATGTCACATGAGATGAATGTAAGAACAACCCTTAGGCTGTTTGACTGGTGTACAACAGACACACTATCAAGTGAGAATATGTAGTTCTGATGGGTCTACAATTCATAATAAGCACATTAAAGCCATCACTTATCACTTTTCCACTTAGTCGTCTTTTTTTTTTTTTTAATTTAAATTTCAAACTGGATCATAGGACAATATTACTTTTCTAACATTTAGGAAGTGAAAAAGTATCTACAGCTTCCATTCTTGGAAAAAAAAAAAAGAGATCTTCGCTTTTCTTAATGAACTTTTATTGTCACATCCATTATTAAATACTGAAGGCTACATAAATTTCTCACACGTGTAATTCTAACAATTATATTTCAGTTGCAACTATAATGGGATTAGACATAAAAAATACCATTCATTTCAAAGCAGTTCTATACACGATTCAACTGAAGCCTCACTGTTAACCTATTTACACAGAGCTCTGAATTAAATACATACAATGAGAAGTAATGAGGAAGTTCAAACTGAGAGCATAGCTTAGATAATGTAAGGAAAAACATAATCTATACATGAGAACACTTCCACTTTCTCAGTCTATGCCTTAATACCCACAATAGTTTTATGTGTTTGAACACATACATACCCAGGGACACATATAAGTTACCTGATCAAATAGCTGCTTGCCTGTTGTATTGGGCTGGATGGCAAATTCCAACTCTGCATCCATTGTGGTTACTCTGACATTGATCTACAGAAAATAAAGAAATATTTAAATCACACTGTAACTGTGTAAGGCTTCTGTATACTGTGATTACCCTGTGAAAAACAATATATGGTAAGGAAATTCAACAATCTTATATACACACAGAACACAGCAGATATAAAAATGGTAAATTTGAATCTACAAAAACACTCATCTTTCATGTAGTATAAAAGCATATTCAGGATAATATTTAACACTAGGTTTGAAGGTCAAACCAGGGAACAAAGTTCAAAATCAACTTAATGGGATAGCTGACATGACTACTGAGCACTTAAAGACGACTAAGACACTCAGCTACTGGGCATTATCTTTCAGTGAGTTCCCAAACATGTGCAAAAGAAAAGTCATATACATATCATTTTAAGGTATTTATACTTGGCAATATAAAAAGATAAGCAGCCTCCTGCCCTGCCACTTCTAAAATTAAGAGGGTTAGTGGTCTTCAAGTATATAGGACTAGAGCTTGTATACCTCAGGACAGTGGATTTTTCATCAATGGAAGGAGGAACTATAGAAGTTAGCTCCCCTTAATACTATACCATTTCAATTCCCTTACTACAGACTGAAAAAACACTGCTATTCAAGAAATTTCTTCCTTCTGAAATAGAGGATCATTTTCCAGATGACTCCGGACAGTCACTGTTTTTATTTGTTCTAAAACAAGTAGTCAAAAATTCCAGGAGATATCTGGAAACCTACCTTACTTGGAAGTACAACAGTGTGTACCCATTTCTCTTCAACTGGTACACACAGAAGTGAGAATTTTAATGAAACAGAACAAAGTACTGAATGCCAGTATTGTCTTCTCACTGTTAGAATGGTCCTCCATTCCTGCTGCCAGGGTATCATATTTTATTTATCTTTAGTGAATAGGAATATAAAGTGTTAAAGGTGAAATCTACTTTGCTATAAATGCAAAAACCAGAAACATGAAACTTATTTAAGGCACACTGATATATTCTAATTTCTTTCTCTCTCTAGTATAAAATATGGAACAGGAATAAATTAGGACTTGTATTACAGGTTCTTACACTACTTGATCTATGCCTGTGTAAACCATTTCCATTAACTATTTTCCTAATTTTGCCACCAGGTGGAATACTTTGAGAAGTGAGAGTCTGAAAAGGCAGCACACAGAAGGGAGATAGATCTAAGGTGCAAAGAAGAAAACTAGATAGAATTTTGTCCCTGTGCAACAGATTAAGCTTGTTCACTCCCTTCTTTAGTGTCAAGATAAACAACGTTGGGCATGAGCTGGATACATAAGACAAGAGTAGTGGGAGTCTGAGGACCTCTAGGTTATAGACCTGAAAACAAGGAAGATAACAGGGGGTTAACAAACTTTTTTTGTTTGTGCAAACACTGATAAAGAACAAGAGTTGAAGGCTTTGGAGTATAAGATAGTAATTTTTTATTGCAAAAAGAAAAAAATTAGAAGATGTGTGTCAGGAGGAAGAAAAAGATGTGTTTCCTACAGATTCCCTCACTCTGCCCATTTCAAGGAGAAAAAAAAAATATTTATTCTCTAACAGAACAACCCATTTTAAATGGTAGGTCTAACTCACTGCCAGTTGCAGTGGTTTAAGTGTGCCAGGCTGCCCCTTAATTACAGTAAGTTAATTTTTTTTAGAGCAGTTTTTCAATTTTAAAAATGAAGCCTGCTTTGGGGCAACTACAATAAGCAAGTTACAAAGGATAAGGCTAAAATGTAACTTTATTAAATGCCAAAGGCCTCTGTTATGTAACATCACCACTGCCAAAACAAGAAGCGTCACAGAAGACAAAGCACAGCAAGTTTAACTAACTGCAGCAGACTTCTTAAGAGCAGCAGCAGAAACTTCTTGCATAAATATCCTTATAACAAATGTCATCTACAAACGCAAGAATTACTACCTGAGTCTATATCCCTCACAGGAACTAAAATACTCAGACAGTAAAACAACAGATGTAATACAGAGGCAAACTCAACACAGCCTGTAGATCCTGTTCGCTGCTGGACATTACTGCTTCAAATAAAATCTGAGTGCTGTAAGAGCACACAGCTGCTACATCTGTGGTAAATACAAACACACATTAGCAGTACCTGGTCACTTATGCACATTACAGTAACTACTTAAGTCTTCAGCACTTCTCTTTTTCTTTGAACTTCTGATTAACAGATCACCCAACTACTAATTCACATTTACACTTTCAGTACTAAGAAAGTTCCAAATTAAATGATAGCAATATTAAAATGTTACTTGTTATGATAGCAATATTAAAATGTTACAAGTTATTTAAGAAGAAACTTATAAAGTTAACATTACATTTGATCATTTTTCTTCTGAAGATTTATGGACTGACTTAGATTTTTGGCATACAAATACCAAACTTTTATAACGTTATAACACTATTTCACAGCTTCAGTTATTTCTGGGCATGGAAAATAAGAAGGTTACTTCTGGCAAAATCTAAGACTGAGCCCAGAAGGTGTACTTACCTAAACCAAACCTCGATCACACAGCATGCTCTCAACAAAAATCAAACCTTTGGTGTCAGTTGTGTTGCTTGTAAAATAAAGCTAACCAACTACATTAAAAGAGTCATGGGAGAAGTTTCTACATTATAAATAAGGCAGGGAATTGAGAAAACACAAGCAGACAAGACCCAGTAAAATCAGCAATTGACTGTCACTCATGGAATCTGCTCTTGCATATCTAGCTACTTTGAAGCAACACTCCTCATGTGACAATGGTGACAGGGGGAAATTATCTGAACCGCAAATTATGAAGGCAGACATTAATCTGGACGTAATTACTCTGAACCGACTTTACCACATGAATACAGAAACAGGAAGGAGCTCTTGCAATGGTGACAAGAGAAATGTATGAAAGTTTCCTGTAGAGCTTGTCGGAAGGCTACCACTACTCATACCGCAAGACCCATTTAATGTCTGTTTTTCAGTCTTGGCCTCACCAGGATTATACATCTTTCTTCAAACTTCAGAAACCATGACAAAGCACTAGACAAGTCTAAGCCCATTACTTCAGCTGCTCAGTCATGAAACAAATCCTGTTCTGCTGTACACGGGCTCAGGGTAAGAGCTGCAACGAGTCTCATTTGGTATATTCATATGTAATTTTGACTGAACTTGAGTAGATGCACTAAGGACCCTACTCTAGTAAATTAATCAAGAAACTCTCTAGGTGGTACTGCAATTCATAGGAGTATGCCTCAGCAAACATTATTTTTTTTTTTTTTTTTTTTTTTTTAAGGTCAAAAAGCAGCTACACACAAACATTACTTTTGATGCCACAATTTAACAATTTATATCACTTACTACTGACCTAGAGATCTCTATGCAAATATTAAATACTAAAATATCATAGTGGTCATGTCTGGGAAATACTTAAAACTGCTATTGCAGGCTTAGTAACTGCATAGCTTGGACTTTGTGAATCTTCTGGCAAGGTCCATGTGGTGAGAGATCCTCCCCCTCCTCCTCCACAGAGCAGACAATGTCATATCTGACCAGCAGCTCTGTGATGACAGGCAGAATTGACACCCAGCAATACAGCACTCCTGGGCCAACCCTCTTACATCCAGCACCAGAAACCACTGACTTAGGCCACTGCAACATATACAGTAAAAGAAAGGGGAAAAAAACCCAAGAAATCAACCAACCAACACAACAAAACCAAAACACAAACAAAAAACCAACCACCACCACTACCCGCCCTCCCCCCCCCCCAAAAAAAAAAAAACAAAAAAAAAACTCCAGTGCTTCCAACACCTAACCCATGGAGCTATGTACAGTTTTAACACAGAGGATATAGGACAGCTTCTCAGCTCCCACTTTAGATACATGACTATACTGATGTTCATCCAGCAAAGCTAGTGCACTCTTGTTCTGTGAATAAGGTGGCATTTAAAAGAAAACACACAACTCATAGGCAAAATGCAAACACCTTTAAGTTTTGCCTCTTTTTGGCAGAATTGCATTGTGAATGTATCACCTTTATGCAACTATATGGTAAATTACATAAGCCAAGTATTCAGACAAGCACCAGCTGTATTTAAAAGACCACAATGGTCTTTTAAAATAAAGGGCAGGTTAACAAGTTATTTTAATTATTTTAAAAATTTTAAGAGGAAGAAAATGCTTAGTACAAAGCTTTCTCCAGCTAGCTACCTTTAAGAATTCATTTTATAAACAAAGCTGATCTAAGAGGGTATAAAGAACAAAGTAAACTTTAGCATAGCATAGAAAAAAGTCTGCTGGACATTTAGGAAAATGCTACTGCAAAGCTCTACTTTAGAGCACCAAATCTCTGTTTAAAATACCAATACTTACCACACAGCTTTTAAAGTGACTATTTAACTTGGCTCATTTGCTGAACAATATAAACAAGTGGTCAGAGACACAAACCTTTCACCATAAAAGGATCACCAAACATTTGAAAAAAATATGTTTTTTCCTTATTTCTGACAAAATAGCTTTGTCCTAATATCTGGGTACATATACGTATTTTTTAATCTATTTGTAATAAACTTTTCCCAAATAATAATGCTTTAAACCCTTACATTGTGACAGTTACCTTCTTCACCTTACAGAATCACACAATAGTTTGGGTTGGAAGGGACCTTTAAAGGTCATCTAGTCCAACTCCCCAGCCATACGCAGGGACATCTTCAACTCAATCAGGCTGTTCAGAGCCCTGTCCAACTGACATTGGATCTTTCCAGACATGGGGTACCTACCACCTCTCTAGGCAGCCTCTTTCAGTGTTTTACCACCATCACTGTATAAAATGTCTTCCTTATATCCAGTCTAAATATACCCTCTTTTAGTTTAAAACCATTACCCCTTGTCCTGTCACAACAGGTCCTGCTAAAAAGGGTCTCCACCTTTCTTATAAACCCCCTTCAAGTACTGGAAGGCTGCTATAAGGTCTCCCCAGGGCCTTCTCCGGGTTGAACACCACTAACTCTCTCAGCCTTTCCTC